ACCTGTCGCAGGTTGTGTTTAGAACATAACACCTGAGATAAACGAGGGACACTGTCCCTCACCTCAGCCTGGGCACCTGGACTCACACTCACACTCGTCCCAAATGTCTTGTCCAAGTCGTTGTTAAATGTTCATTTGTGCTTCTGTGTGTTTCAGATCCACTGTTTGTGTCTCGCTCCTTCTGAGTCACAGACGAGAGACGCTCAGTTTCATGAACGATACTGAAAACCTGAAGCATCACTTAAAAAAAAACCCAGACATGACGCAAAATACGGACATGTCCAGGGAAAAACGGACGTTTGTTCCCCCTACTCCAGTAAAAGTAAAAGTACATGAGTATTACACATGTACACAGAGTGAATGTGTAAGTGTCTGGTTTGTCATTTGGAGGTAAAATCATCAGAACAAAACACAAACACTCAACTTCAGTCACTTCACACTCACAGTGAGAAGAGGAAACACCACTTTTACTTTTACTTTTACTTTTACTCAAGTAAGAGTAAAATCATATTTACTCTGGACACTGGTCTGACCTGGAGACTTCAGGTCATTTACAAACTCCTGCCTCAGGTCTGTGTCACTCACATGAGACAAACCAGGTCTGTAAATAAATGTTTTACTGAAACTGAAACTGAAACTGAAAGAGCAAAAACAACAACAACAAACTCTGAGACGCAGATTCACACCGGACGAGGGTCACGAGTGTCACGAGGGTCATCAGGGTCACGGGGGTCATCAGGGTCACGGGGGTCACGGGGGTCATCAGGGTCACTGGACGTGTGAGTTTGGTGAAATACAGTTTTTCATTTGAGGTGGAATTTTGATTTTACAAAAAACAAACACACGACACTTTCACACATGATTAACAACACACAAATGTTACACATCCACATAGACCTGGTTCAGTCCTGGTTTAATCCTGGTTTAGTCCTGGTTTAGTCCTGGTTTAGTCCTGGTTTAGTCCTGGTTCAGTCCTGGTTTAATCCTGGTTTAGTCCTGGTTTAGTCCTGGTTCAGTTCTGTGTGTTCAGCAGGATGTTTCTGTCATAAATCGTGTTTGGGTTTGTGCATGAGCGTGCACGTGTGTGTGTGTGTGTGTGTGTGTGTGTGTGTGTGTGTGTGTGTGTGTGTGTGTGTGTGTGTGTGTGTGTGTGTGTGTGTGCGCACGCTCACGTGCACGCAGCAGGAGGGACGTCTTAACTGTGTTTGTCTGAAGGTGATAAATGTGACCAAGACCCAGAGTCTGAAACAGACCAAGACCAGGACCAGGACCAGGACTGAACCAGGACTATAACAGAACCAGACCAGGACCAAAACCAGGACCAGGACCAAGACCAGGATCAGGACTAAACCAGGACTATAACAGAACCAGACCAAGACCAGGACCAGGACCAAGACCAAGACCAGGACGAGAACGAGGACTGAACCAGGACTATAACAGAACCAGACCAAGACCAGGACCAGGACTAAACCAGGACTGAACCAGGACTAAACCAGGACTAAACCAGGACTAAACCTGGGAGGGCATCTGACACAGTTCTGTTCAGAAGAGTCTCTGAGGTTGATAAATATTTTCTTAATAAACAAAGAAAAGTCTAAAAGAACTTAAACTTCTGCAGCAGCAGCTCTGACCAGTGTGTGTCCTCACAAGTCCTGCACAAGTCCCGGTCGAGTCCTGGTCGAGTCCTGGTCGAGTCTCGGTCGAGTTCCGGTCGAGTCCCAGTTGAGTTCCGGTTGAGTCCCAGTTGAGTCCTGGTCGAGTTCCGGTTGAGTTCCGGTCAAGTCCCAGTCGAGTCCCAATCGAGTCCCGGTCGAGTTCTGGTTGAGTTCTGGTTGAGTCCCAGTCTCGAAATGTAACATTCTCCCCAAACAAATGTTTTGACACGTTTTATAAATTCTGAGTCTCTCCTCCTTTTGCTCTCTGTCCTAAGTCACTCCCCCTTCAGAGCGTCCTCCTGAACATCACATCAGGTTTGTTCAGTCGCTGTGTTCAGTTTTGTGCCGGAGCCTCGTACAGAGTTTGTGTAGGGCCTAGGAGAGATCTCTAGATGACTCAAACATTCACACACAGAACGACGTCAGAACACGAGAGAAAGAAACGAGGTCGAACGGCTGACGCTTCATCCATCACCCGCACAGCAGAAACACACTCCAGGGGGCGCTACACACACACTATACATACACACACTATACACACACACTATACACACACACACTATACACACACACTCTATACACACACACACACAGCAGGTCTGACCCCAAAGATCAAAGGTGACATTTAACGAAACACAAACCACAAAACACACCACTGCTCCAGGTGCCCTCCCTGTGTGTGTCAGGTCCCTCCCCGTGTGTGTCAGGTCCCTCCCTGTGTGTGTCAGGTCCCTCCCTGTGTGTGTCAGGTCCCTCCCTGTGTGTGTCAGGTCCCTCCCTGTGTGTGTCAGGTCCCTCCCTGTGTGTGTGTGCATAGTGTGTGTGTGTGTGTATAGTGTGTGTGT